TCCTCTTTCTTCATTTCACTTCTGCTTACCTAGTTATCTCCTATGCCTGTATCTGGAAAGTGTTCATTAAATATTATAGTAGTAATTTAACTTGATGGAACTATCTCAAAAAAACTTGCCAGGACAGTTTTACAGTAAGAGTACTACCGTGAGGTGGGAATATGTATGTCCCTGTAGATCTGCCATTGGTGTTTGTATGGGATGAAGATATGCTAAAGGCATTGTTGCTATAGCCACCTCCTTCATCCTTAGCTTTCAAATAACCCCATAAGACAAAACCTAATTTGTCATTCACTGATCGTTTAAATGTAGCCAAAATACAAAGTGTATGTTAGGTACACTTATTCAGTTATTAGACAAGTGTTTATTGAGCTTGTACTGTATATATGGCAGGCACTGTTCAAAACACTTGAGAAACATCAGTAAACAAAACAGAAATCCCACCCCCCCCTTGGAGTTTGCATTCTAGTCAGAGAAAATAAACATAATAAGTAATTTATATAGTATGAGAGAAAGTAATATGTGCTATAGAAGAGGGATCAGCAGTACTTGAAGGAAGTTTATATGAACATCATTGGAGCTGAGCATATTATCATAGTGGTATCTAGTAAGCATTAAACAGAGCAATGAGAAGGGTGAAGCTAGAGCCAGACATATATCTAAATCTAGGTAGGACTAGTCTGGAATTCAGTTCTATATTGAGCATTATGTGCAAGGTACTTTGACTTACTCTGAAGGGACAGGGTTATCAAAGATAAATCAGACATTGCTTTCTTGCCTTCCAGAACCTACTATAACAAGGGAAGACAGCCATGTAGGCAAGTAGCTGAATAACACAGGTTCTAATTAGCAATATATGTATGCGGTTGCTAAAGGGGAGAAGCAATTAATTTTGACTGGACGATCAGTTAGAGAAGCAGAGAAAATGCAGCCTGAGCAAATTTGACAGTAAATGTTTGACAGACTACGACAGACTTCTCAGAAAGTGGCTTGCAAATGGAAAAGACTCAAGTGATCATGAAGGAGAGTACACCTATACAACTAATACAACAAAGGGCCACAGCTAACAGAATTTCAGGTCTCCTGGTTCATCTTTCCAATATTTGTCTCATAGCCCTTTAAATAATGGGCAGGAATTTTGAAAATGATGAAGCAGTGAGAAACAAAATAAGACTAAGGAGAATAATGATTTAATAAGGGATAAAGGCAGTGAAAAAATATTTTGGATTATTTGATAGAGGAAGTTGTGATAGATTCAGAGATCAACAAAAAGAAGATACTGATTGCTAAAAGAAGAAAAGAACAAATGTTTTAATAGACTTGAGTAACACTAAACATAATTTATTTGCAACCTGGATTAAAACAATAGTTCCCCATCAGCTGATTTGAGATCTGTCTGTGCCCTGAATCAGGGCTTCAGAGCTCTGGCACTTGATACTGAAGGTCACTGCTTTTCTTTAGTTCACTGTTTGCCTACGAGTATTTGAATTTGTAGAGGAATGAACCGTTCATTCAGCTCAATAATTAGAGTATTTGTCTTTTTCTCCTAATGTCATCTGACTGAAATTGAGACGTGTGCTCATTCCAAAATATCTTTATTACATTTCTTGGTTTTGTGAGAGAAAGCAATAGGACAATTGATGTCCATTTTCCTAGGAATTAAGATAGTAAAGGTTCGTTTGGCAAAGCTTGTTAAGTTCACACTCAACATTTATATTTCACAAATGCTGTCAGCAGCTCTTTGAATAGGAAGCTGACCCTATGAGAGTAAGGCTGGGGCTAAAAGTACTTGCCAGGAGGTCTTTTCAGTAAGGAGAAATTAAAACGAATTATCTGTTATTCAAATCTGTACTCAAAGTATAGATCTCCCTGAGTTTAATCTTTAAAAGATTCATAGATGAATATAATATAGAAAAAATGTGGAAAAAAGGGCTCTTTTTTCCTTAACACAGCTTTTTGCTCCACTCCATGTTGTTGCTATATCATTCTACCTACTGTTAATGAAATATACGTTCTCTTTTTATTAAAACGTATCAAACCATTTTAGTGCATTGGCATATAGAACGATTTTAGTAAGAGAACCTTGCTTTAAAATTATATAATGTGCCATTCATATTGCCATAGTGGCAACCCAAAACTAACCCACTCATCCAGCTGTTAAAGGTTTCATTTGAGTTTTATTTTAATGTGAGTAAAAGGTTCTCATTGTCATTGATACTCTTTTCATATTACTCTTCACTTTATCAGCTTTAGGAAGTACCTTATATGTATTTTTCTCATAAAAAAATAACAAATTGGGGGGGCTTTTGTTTGTTCTTTTGTTTCTTACTCTGGAAAGTATTTGCAGTGTGGAGTTTTAGTAAGCACCTTCACTTTGCATTACAAGGTCTTTATTTGTCCACATTTGGTTACTGCTGTATGAAGCCATAAAAAACAGGGAGTTGAGGGAAAGTGACAAAGATGAAGAAGGGATGAAAAATAAGCTTTTTAAGGAAGAATTAAATCTATTTAGCTTGAAAAGGGGAGAAGGGGCACAGTGCAAATAGCACTCACTGGACTGATGGACCAGATGACTGGTTTTGAGGCCTGGCTCTACCAAAAATGAGTGATTCACTGTAGACAAGTCACTCTAGAGTACTAATCTGTAAAATGAGGGGATTTGATTAGTTTGGGGTCAACAAACTTTTTATTAAAAGGCCAGCTAGTATTTTAGGCTTTGCAGGCCAATATGGCCTTTTTCAAAACTACTCAACTCTGTTGTAAAAGAATGCTTAACGAACAGGCAAAGCTGTGTTCCAGTAAACTTTATTTACAAAAATGGGCGGCAGGCCACATTTCATCTGCAGGCCTTAGTGTGCTGACCTCTGTCTGGAAGATTCCTTTCACATCTTCATTCTGTGGTATTGCTTTATTATCAACATCACATATATGAAAGGATTACTGCTCTGTTATTTTCAATAGTGTATCAGTCAGGGGCTGGCCAGGAGACAGAAACCACAGTTATTTTACCAGAAAATCTGAAATGTAAAGAATGGTTGACTATGTATAAATGAACTGAAGAGGGAAAAAGAAAACACTGAGTTATCATGGACTTGGCAACTGCAGGAAGCAGCTACCACCTCAGAGCCTGTGTCACAAGAAGAGTTTGGGGTTATTAAACCAGAGGAACTTGGAGGAAAGGCCCTACAAAGCTGAAACTGATCTCTGTGTAAGGCGCCTTGCTCAGCTGATGCTAATATTTCTCCCCTTCAAGGAGGGCTCTGTGGGGATGGGAATTCTGAGGGCTCCTTTTTTTTTTTCTTTCTTACCTTTTTTTTTTTTGATAGCTACACAAATATAGACAAAGAACCAAACAAAGGAAAACAGACTTTTATTAAAGCAGGAGGGACTAATAAACATAAGAAAGAACTAATTCACAGAACCACATAGTTATCTTTTCTGGATAGTTTTAGTTTCCGAATGCAGAGATCAAGATTATCTCTTATTCCTCTGTAACTCTCCCAGTGGGAATGGTGTAAGAGTCATTGCCTCCAGTGTTTTTAAATAAAAGATTAAAAAGTAATCTATTCTGGATAGTTTTAATTTCAGAATGCGGAGATCAAGATTATCTCTTATTCCTCTGAGACTTTCTCCTACTGATGTGTAATGTGGCATTTGACTTCCTTTTCTTGGTTTACTTCCCTAGACGAGCTTTCAGAGACTTTTGTTTCCTCATAGAAACTATATAAATTTGGGTAAGTTCCTCTTGTCTAGGTTTCCAGTAGACCCAAGTAACTGAGGTAATTGCAGTAGTTAAAGGTTGGAGTATGTATCTCTTGCACATGTTCTCTCTTATTCTTTTCTGTCTATCTCTACCTCATCTCCCCCCTCACCTTTTTCAGCTCAGAGAGCACTTTGTGACTTTCTTTGTGCCACTTAGTCATAATCCACCTTAGATTGTTGCTTGTGTCTTGTATCAACTGAGGATATGGACATTATCTTCATTAGAGCTCTGCATGCAGCCAAGAGTGATCTCATTTTGGTTCCTCTCAGCCACTCAAACAGTCACCAGAGGTAAGCTGGCAGCTAAGCCAGGGAGGGCATCAAGAACAGGGCCTGGCACACAGTAAGCTCTTGGTAAATAATTGCCACTGAAGAACTGAATAACCCCCGGCACAGTATCGTACATAATTAGCAACAAACTGAACCAGCAAATTAATTAATAATTTATAAGCTCTAAATGATTGTATTCTGACAGAAGTTTGGGCCTGTTGTTGCTGTTGTTAAAAACTGTTTTGTTCTTCGGTGCTTCCTGATTCTTAATTTCTTCACTTTCTGGTTCATTGTGAATTTTCCCAACAGCTCTCAATATATAGCAGTGCCAGTTCCCATGCCATTTTCCCTCTCCCTGTTGTGGCTGGGTTAAAGGGTTTATACATGCAATGGGGGGTCATTATTACCTGACTATGTTCAGAGAGCCACTGAGTGTTTTATGGAATTCATGGACATTGGCAGTTCCCTAAAGATTCTTCAGCAATTCTCTGTTGTCCTGATACCCATCTTTCCAATAGATATATACACTTGAAAATTGTTTTCAGATTTCATTGTTTAGCATAAAGGGAAAATGTTGAAAACAGAGCTTCATGTTTTTCTTACAGCTCAGTATAATTTGGAACATGTTTCTCCACTGATGGTGTTTATGCCTTGTTCTACAAATGGTATTTGTGACCCCACAGAAGCAAAATATTAATAATTTTTGTTGTCAGGTACTAATGTGTTTGCCAGCTTGTTGCTAGTACTCTTCATAAGTTCAGGCAGTTGATAGTGGTGAAGGAGCTGAAGACAACTCTTGACATTTTCCCCTGGCACATGTTTGGAACACTGACAAGGACTGTGAGTTCAGCAAACTCTTGGTGGATGTATATGCTGGAGTGAGCTATGATACCCAAGTTGGGATGATACAGACGAACTGAAAGTTTTCTAAACTTGCATATTCTGACTAAACTTTTCTGTCTTGTCAGCCACCAGCTCTGCCCACTTGGAGGACCTTGCTTACCTGGATGAGCAGAGACATACACCTTTGAGAACTTCTCTTCGAATGCCGAGACAAAGCATGGCTGGTGCTCGCACACAACAGGATTTAAGAGGTTAGAACTCCAGAAGGGCTTTGCCTGATGATTCCCAGGCAAAAGTGTACATGGGCAGTAGGCAAAAAGTTTGTTTCCGATTTCCACTCTTACTGAAGCCTCACGTAAAAAATGAGCATGTCACCATAGAAGAGAAAGATAAACACAAATACATTATATTCATCATAGACATTGTAATTTTGAACAGTTGGAAGCATTGATCCTTGAAATTCTCAAAAGAAACAAGGGTAAAGATGGTGATGGAGGAAACAACCTTTTTAAGGTCCTAGATTTCAGAAGTGAGTGTTGATTCACTTCAGCCCTAGTGTGAGCTTGGTGCTAATAGTCACATATTTCATAGAGAATTTATTTCATCTTCATCCTAGTGGCCATTTCTGATGACATACAGTCCTTTTACTTATTGGAGTTTCAGACAGTGCTTCTAGTCCTCTCCTGGAAACATTTAAACAACTTATCCCTTTCCCACTCAGGCAACAGTTTCTTTACACTTTTTATGCGTACTACTTGTTTCTACAGTCAGGAACCTAATCTTTTCAAAGACTTTTCATTTTGTTGATCCTTTCAAAAGACAGTCTAGTTGAGAGACCTGTTAGTGGTATCGCTGCTTTGTGCCTCTGGTTTGTTCAAAATGAACCAAACCATCTCTGATAGCCTTAATAGATAGGTGGTCACCTTTCTCTAGTACCTCATAATCCATACTTCTAATATCCCAAGTGCCTTTTTAAATTTTATCTCCTAGATTATTTTCATCTTTCCTTTGCTCTCCTCCTCACCCCTGTCCAATGCTAATCTGTACAGTACCACATGCGTAACTCACACAGGAAGGGTTACATTCATGCCTGCTGTCCATTCTGGAAGTCATTGTGCTGATAGTTTTTCAATGATGACTGGGCAACTAGGAGCATAAAATAATCGGTTGTATTGCTGCAGTTGCCAAACCTCCCATCTACTATAGTGAGTTGATGACCTCTGTCAGTTTTGGTTCCCAATCCTATTCATCCTACTCACCATTTCTTCAGTTAAGCCACATGCTAGTTGCTTAGTATATACAGCTGTGTATTTCCAGCCTAGGAAGTGGCATTATATTAAGCACTACTTTAGTATAGCATTACTTTAGTATATATACTTTAGTATATTTAACACTACTTAGTGCTGATTGGTTGATTATATCCAAAGCCTGAATAAATCTAGTCAAAAGACTAAATAAATGATTTGTGCCAAAACCAGAATGCATAGCCATAATAAAGAAGATTGAACATATGATTTCACTCACATGTGGAATTTAAGAAACAAAATGATCATAGGGGAAAAGAGAGAGGCAAACCAAGAAACAGACTCTTAGCTGTAGAGAACAAAGTGATGGTTACGGGGCTGGGGGGTGGGAGGGCAGGATGAGTTAAATAGGTGATGGGGATTCAGGAGTGTACTTGTCTTGATGAGCACCGGGTGTTATGTGTGTTAAATCACCAAATTGTACACCTGAAACTATTATTACACTGTACATTAACTGGAATTTAAACTAAAAAAAAAAAAGAAGATTGGATACAACTATTGATCTATATAGACCTTCAGATTTGGCTGAAAATCTGCATTAACATCACCTTGCATTTCATTACTGGAAAACATACATTAATTATTTTATTTTCTGCTTTGCTAGTCATTGAATAATGGATTTTGTACTGCAGGCATACTTCAGAGATCTTATGGGTTCAGTTTCAGACCACTGCAATTTTAAAGTGAATATCACAATAAAGCAAGTCAAATGGATTTTTTGGTTTCCCAGTACCTATAAAAGTTATGTTTACACTATACTGTAGTTTATTAGGTGTGTAAAAGCATTGTCTAAAAAAAACAATGTGCATACCTTAATTTTAAAATACTTTATTGCTTAGGGGTGCCTGGGTTGCTCAGTTAAGCATCCGCCTTCGGCTCAGGTTATGATCCCAAGGTCCTGGGATGGAGCCCCAGGTCGGACTCTGTGCTCAGCAGGGAGTCTGCTTCTCCGTCTCCCTCTGCCCCTCCTCCTGCTCATGCTGTCTCTCAAATAAATAAATTTTAAAAAGATTTTTAAAATACTTTAATGCTTAAAAAATGGTAACCATCATCTGAGCTTTCAGTGAGTCATAATCACTGATCACAGATCACCATAACAAATAAAATAATGATGAAAATATTTGAAATATTGCACAAATTACCAAAATGTGACACAGAGACACAAAGTGAGCAATTGCTGTTGGCAAATGGCACCAGTAGACTTGCTTGATGCAGGGTTGCAACAGACCTTCAAGCTGTTTAAAAAAAAAAAAAAAAAGGAATTATCTGCATGTGAAACACAACAAAACAAGGTATGCCTGATAGTAGAAAACAAAATCCATTGACAGATTGCAGCTGTGTGTTTTTGAGAACCCTTCGTGTTGGGTCCTGTTGATACTTGATGGTATAATCTTTGCTTTAGTATCTAAAGATTTAGTAAGATCTTTGACAGATGCATTCTAGTGAGCTTGATATTTAGACACAGATATCACTTATATCTAGAAAACAACGAAAAGCTTTGCTGTTGCACTGAACTTAAGCCTAAACATTCAGTAAAACCAAAGTACATCCAAAGATTTTTCAAAGCATGCCTAAGAGAGCTCTCTGCCTGAATAATGCATTCCTAACAAAACTAATTTTATATCCCTTGCAGATAGTCTCTCAACTTACTGTTTACACTACTACTTGAAGATGCCGTTTTTCCATTGATAAAGGTGCTATGATATGAGTGTTTTAGTTTCTTAACGTTGTCTGTTCTTTCAGGAGCTTTTCTTTTAGAGGTCTGAATGGTTAGAACATGCCATTCAGTTGAGTACTTTAATCCATAAGAGACTCGGTGTTTACTAAGCAGTATTTTGCCTTCTAAAATTAGCATACTAATCTTCCCTCAAAAAGTAACATGTTATCTTAATTAACTGTTTACAAATGAACTCTGTGTCTTCTGATATGACTTAAAACACATTAACAAGAAAGGAAAGCAAACTTGGATTAACTTTCCTTATGTTTCTATAGACCTGCTTGGCAAGCCTCTATAATTTGTGCTTGTTATATCCAAAACATTGCACTTCATTGTAGAAACAGAATCATATTGTTTTCCTGGCATAATTTTAGAAAACATGTCACATCATGCTTTCTGTTTTATTTAAAGAAACATACAAATTCCAGTCATGTTTTGGTTTTATATATTTTTCTTCTGCTGTGGTTGAAGTAAAACAACCTTACCCAAAAAAAGTAATAAAGTGATTGAAACCTTCTGTAGTATACACTAAGATAAATCTTTCCACATTAGAGATAGATCTTTCTATATTTTAAGGTATTACTCAAGTCCTATGAAATAGTTTTTTAATCATAAAAATGGATTTTAAATCACAAGTGATGGGTTTTAAATGATCCTGGATCTTCAGAGAAGGTAGTTAATGGTCATGTACACTGAAGTGTATCTGCTGACTACTAAATTTGCTGTTTCCAAGTATAGAGTTTATCTGAAATAATATCTTTTGAGGATATGTCTAAAGAGGTAGAAAGCATTTATTGGACACTTCATACAGGCATTCTTGCATTACTCTGTTTAGAGCAATTCTCAAACTTTTTGGTATCAGCACTCCTTTACACACTTAAAAAAAATTACTGAGGGCCTTAAAAGCTTGGGTTTATAGGAGTTATATTTATTGATATTTGCCATATTAGAAGTTAAAACTAAGAAAGTGTTAAAATATCTGTTCATTTTTCAAAAACAATAGACCTGGTATTTGTTAACATCATATAAGCTTTGGAAAATTCTACCGTACACTTGTAACAGAATGAGCATGGAAAAAGATAAGTAACCTCTCAGTATTAAATGATTTTGATTTCGTGGACCCCCTGAAAGTGTCTTGAAAACCCCCCGGGGTCCCCAGATCACACTTTAAGAACCACTGGTTTAGGGACTACCACTGCAATTGAAGAGAAGTGCCTTTACATCTTTAAGGACCATATAGTCTCTTTACAGAAATGCAAAAAAAGTATAGTTTTAGAATTGGTTAAAAGTCGTTCATAAACATTGTTAAAGAGTACAGGCATTGAGCTGTACTTTTCATCTCCGTGACTTATTTATTTTATGACTGGAAGTTCGTACGTCTTAAATCTCCACTATCTATTTCACCCTTTCCCCTACCCCCTCCCCTCTGGCAGCCACCCATTTGTTCTCTGTATTTAAGAGTCTGTTTTGTTCATTTGGTTTTAGATTCTGTGTATAAGTGAAATCATGTGGTATTTGTCTTTCTCTGTCTACCTAAGTTTTTCACATCTTTTTATATTTCCACACTAGCAGGACTTCTTGTAGCTGACAGGCTCTACTCTTCGAGCTTTGTATAGAAGTACGTTTTGAGGGGCGCCTGGGTGGCTGAGTCGTTAAGTTCTGCCTTCGGCTCAGGTCATGATCCCAGGGTCCTGGGAGGGAGCCCCGCATCGGGCTCCCTGCTTCTCCCTCTCCCACTCCCCCTGCTTGTGTTCCCTCTTTCGCTGTGTCTCTCTCTGTCAAATAAATAAATAAAATCTTTAAAAAATAATAATAATTTTGGACATTTGTCCTGAGTTCACTTAGGTTTCAAGAGATCCCTTCATTCTGGAATTGTAAGCTTTCAGTGTATAATTCTTTAATCATCTTATCACTAGCATTTATTATGCTAACTTTGTGTTAGAAGAGCCAGCCTGTTTTCACTGATGTTCTTTCGTTGTGTTATTTAAATTCAGTGACTAAAACCTTACAGATTATTCCCAGAGTTGATGCAGAATGGCTCTGTCATTGAGTACTGACTCAGTGAAATTCTGCATGAAATCCAGCACTTATAACAGTTGCCAGAGTACCTGTGCAGTAAATGTTTATTTGAATTAATAAAAAAAAAGAGACTACAGGCATAGTTCGTTTAATAGTTACCTTAATAATAACTACAGTTGTTTGTTCATAATGGTAGTGTTTTGACCACTGA